CTTGGGACCAAACCTTAGTCCTGACATGGTAGTGGGGTCGCTGGTGGCCTCCCAAAAAAGTTTGTCTGCTCACCTGGAACCTGTGAATGTAAGTTTATTTGGAAAAAGGGTCTTTACAGTTGTCATGAAGTGAAAGATCTTGAGAGAAGACCAGCCTGGATTAGGCTGGGCCCCAAATCCAGTGGTAAGTGTGTTTATAAAGAGAAGGGGAGAAGACACTGGGGGAAGGTGGTGCTGTGTTGGCAGAGGTAGAGGTTGGAGCGAGGTATCTACAAGCCAAGAGATACCAAGGAACGCCACCAGCTACCACAAGCTGGGAGAGAGGCAGGGCACCGACTCTCCCTCAGAACCTTCAGAAGAAACAACCCTCCTGACACTTGACTTTGGGCTTCTGGACTCCAAAACTAAGAGCCAATGAATTTCTGTTGTTTAAAGTCATCTGGTTGGTGGTAATTTGTTATGGCAGCTCCAGGAAACTAACACAAACATCAACGCTTACTGAGCTGTGTGACCTTGTGGAAGTTACTCGGCATCTTTATACCTCAGTCTCCCCCGCTGTCAAATAGAGATTTTAATAATCCCTTAGGATTCTTGTGACGATTCTTAGCGTGCGCGGCATGCTAAGAACTGCTTCGTACAGCAAGCACGTTATTGACCGTCACTGTGATCCTCCTCCTCTTCCTTACGGACAAACACATGCGGGTACAGAGAAGCATCCGGGCAGTATCTCTGGGTATTAAGATCAAAAATAATATTTACTTTTTTCCATTGTGCTTCTCTGTGTTTTACAAATTATGCACATGGAATGCGCATCATGTATCTGTTTTATAGTCAGAGGGCACTTATTGTTAAATGATCATTTTTCTTTATAATGATAAAAGGCGGTGTAGCTGCAAGCTCATCTACAGATAAAAAGAGCTCAGCTACTCACTGCAGTGATGGAGTATTTAAACAACACGCGTGCTAGCAGGGCTCACACGGTGCTGGAGAAACAGCGATGTGATTATTCCAACCTGAGAACCACAATGCACGAATTGCTACGAGTAACCTCTTCTTTTGGAAGTTGAGAGGCTCTGAAAATTGCTTCCTGTTGCCTAGCACAAGGAAGCCTGATTTCTGGGCATATGTATTTCTCTTTCCACACTAATAGTAGTTCTACACTAACAGCATGACACTTCTAGGTTTCCTACTATGGTCTTTCTGTCTTCAGAGTTTGGAAACTGCCTGTCTACCATTCAGATATCCAGCTATTTTCACTATAGGCATCACACAGTACTTTAATTGACCCATTTCCCTTAAGAAAAACACAATTTTTGTAATGAAGTACTTGGCCTGATCCAACCACTCTTGAGTTAAGGCTTACTGAGGGCGAGCATGTAACGTGACATAAGAGGCGAGAGGATGGACTCAGAGAAGGCTGCTGACCAGCTGTCATGAGGATGTGGAAAAGCACTGGTGCGATGGGCCCTTCAGGGAGGAGAGAACAGGAAGCAATTTGTTCTCTGCAAAACTGCCTTCCGGGCCCAACCACAGGTGGGTGGATGTTAAAATTTTTTTAACCTTTATTTTTTTGAGAGAGAGAGAGAGGGAGAGAGAGAGAGAGAGAGAGAGAGAGAGAGAGAGATTGATTGATTGATTGATTCCCAAGCAGGCTCCATGCTGACACGCAGAGCCCAGTGTGGAGCTTGAACTCACCAACTGTGAGATCATGACCAGAGCTGAAATCAAGAGTTGGACGCTCAACTGACTGAACCACCCAGACGCCCCAAGTAAAGTACTTTTTAATAATCACTGCAAAATACACCATCTGCAAATTACTGTTTTCAACAGGTACTTACTGTCCGTGGGAATTGAGGGGCGGTACAAGCTGACACTCTTATTGACACTCACCCTCGAAGTGAGGCAGGCGCAGGATGGGGGCTACTTCAGGTAGCTGAAGACCCTTAACCTGATCACCCTTCAACTTGAGGGGAGGGGCCGGCAGTCCCTTCCTTTGTTAGGCACGGTCACCCCGTGTTTGCCGGGAGCCTGCATGGGGAATGCACTGTGGATGTGCCGCTGGGGCAGCTCTCCCAGCGTCCCTTCTGCAGTGTGGGCCCTGCTGGGCGTCTTGTTCAAGCTTCTGGCACTGTCTGCCCGCTCCCCTTCCTCACTGCCACGCACGTTCTTTCCAGGCCGCCTCAGGCCTCGGATGACAAGCATCAGTTCATACTTGTCTTTCTCCCTACCTGTTCCTAAGTGCACTTTTGTCTAGTGACTCCCCTCTCCCCCCCAGAATATCTATAAGCGGGACAGACAGGAAACTTTAAAAAATAAACAGTAGGCAGGATGGAGGGAAGGAAGGAGATACAGAGACAGAGATTAACAAATGACAAGTTTGAACCATAAGGCAGTACTCAGGAAACAGGCCTGGTGATCTCCTCCATCTTTGCCGCCCACGGTTATTTGATCTCATTCCCCAGCATTCTCTCCATATTCCCTGGGCCCCCCATCACGTCCTCACCCTTCTTCCCTTCGGTGGAGACCTTGTGGATCCAAACTGAGTCCCAAAAGGTTTAATAAGACCTACTTCATCTTGGGAGAAACTTCTTCCTGTCCAGCTGTCTCTGATTCTCATTCTGGTTCTCCCAAACCCACCCTTTGCCGCTCCATCTCCTTGGTGTTCTCCTTCATCTTCTGGTCTTCCAAGTGTGCATGGGCTCATGGGGTCGCAAGCTTCCTCCAGAACTTCCTGCTAAGTCTGCCTCTTGAACCTTTATGTCTAGACTTCTCTTCTGAGCCCCAGGGATCTCTATACAGCTGACTCCTGGATGTTTCCACTACTGTACTCCAATAGCAAATTAAATAAACTATATAAAAACACTGAACTCGTTACCCATGTCCCCGAACTCACCGCATACCTCCCAAGTTCTCAGTATTCGCTAAAGCATCAACAGTCTCTTACTGACCCAAATGGACACATGCCAAGTCACCCTGGACTTTCCCTCCCTCACACCACACGCTTGAGTCAACCTGCGTAATATCTCCTGTACCTGCCCATCACTCCCCCTCTTGCTTCCAGCATCCTGAGTCCAGTGCTTCTTGGGTGGGCCACTATGACAGGCTGTTAACTGTTCTTCCTGTCTCACCCCACACCTCCCCCCATGGCTTCCAGAATAACTTCCTGACGAGGGTCTGATCCCACTAGCTGGTATTCAAAGCCTTCTACAATTGGGCTTCTATTCTGCTTTCATTTTCCAACCATACTCTATATGTGCTGTTAAAGTTTTTAGACAAAAGGCCATTCATTGAGGGTGGCTTGAATGGCTTGGCAGCCTACGTAAGCGAACCGAAGTATAAGCCAGACTCAATGCACTTGAAACTGAGAAAGTGAAGTTGAAGAGCAACTGCTCACAAACAGTCAACTGGGTTTCCCGAAACAAGGCCAACTGCATATGCTCTACATAGTCAAATACTTGCTTTGTTTTGCTACAGCGTCTTGTTTCTGGAAACCTTGCTCCCCAGCTCCTGTCCTGGGGTGCTCCTAACCACCTTTGGTTTCACACTATGCAATGTGAATCGATGTATGTCCAAATAAGCTCTTGAAAATTTTAACCTGCACCAGTTTACCTATACTACTGTATCCACACTTGGTTGCCGAAATCACTCCATATTCTTCATACGTGCCCTGTCATTTTTGGCTTCTGTGACTTTGCAGACCCTGTTCTTTCAGCCTGAAATGCCCTTTTCTCCCCAGCTTTCTATGTAAAAACCTTCTTGTCTTTAAAAATCACCCCTGTCAAGATTCTCAAACCCCAGGAGCAAATGAGCTAGCTGCCCATTGGCTCCTCTGTAGCATTGTATCCGTACCGCTCTTATGTCTCCGACATTCGAGCCTGTGTTATGTCCCTGATGAGGCATATTTGCCAGAAGATGGCTCCCATCTGACTGCCCTCTGAACTTCCCACGGCACTCTGTTGCTGCACCATAGCCAGCACAGGCAGGTCTCTGCCAATAACCCAATGAACAACTCGAAGTACCTCCGGAATAGCACCCCCCACCCCATCGGACCTCTACTTAGGACCCTGAGAAATGACTAAGAAGGGAGCAACCTAGTTTCTGCCCTCCAGGAGTTTATAGCTCCCAGAGATTAGGCTAACATATGCTAATTGATAGGAAGCAATGGAAGATAGAGAATCGGATTACTGAGAATCTACACTATATACACTCTAAGAAGTCAGGAGAGAGGCTCTTTCGTAGGAAAGACATGGGATCTTAGTAATAGGTTTATTCTGGATGAGTGTAAAGAAGGGCATTCTAAGTGGTGAGAGTAATAAGATTAGGACAGCAAAAGGCATGGGGCGAAGGGCCTAACATTCCCCACGTCTCACTCATGCTAGGACGTAGGCTCTGTGCCTTGTATGTATTATTTCACTTAATCCTACAACAATCCTGCACAGCAGAGAGCATCAGGCCAATTTCATAAGTGAGGAGGCTGAGGCTTGAAGGGATTGAGGAATGGGCCCAGGTTACACAGCATTAGGTGGCCGAGCTGGGATCTGAAACACACAGCCTGTTTGTTGCCCCGCGCTGCCTCCTCTAAAGCAACACAGTGACTATCCCTGGGTGTTTTCTTCAGGAAGGGGGACTCTTTGCATTGATGAATAATTCAAGTTGTAGAGCAATAAGCACAATGTGTAATATGTACAGGGCTCGGTACAAGGTAGTCGGCCCCGAGTACAAGTCTGTGCATCTAGAAAGAGAAGTGAGAAGGCTCTTCAATGAGATGAGAGTGGTGTGGGGAGAAATGCAGAGGGAGAAGGCAGTCCCAGACCTGAGGAGCCTCTCCGAACTCTCAGAAGCACACAGAAGGGACACAGACCAGAGTCTGGATTACTATCATCCACCCCAGCCTACTTCAGTTACAAAGGAAGAGAAATAACCCAACTCAACACCGATTGGTTGTAATGAACACCCCTCTTCAGAGGTGATAAGAGAGAAAATGATGGCAGGAAACATACTTGGTCTCGTTGGCACATCGGATCTTGCAGCCTTCTCTGGGAATCACCAAGCCCAGGTGCATCCGGAGCCTGCAGTTGGTGGGCCCTGTGTGCGGCCACACGTGGGTTCCTGGGTGCATGACAGAATACTTGATCTGCACAGAAAATGTAACACACTGGTCACCCGTTCATCGAGGGGTGGAGGAAGTGCTACATTAAAGTGACTACATAACATTATTGTCAATTTGAATTAGAGCCTTGGGAAGACTGAGAATTTATAGTCTCGTCTAGTTTCACAGGTAAGGACTCTCATTTTTCCATATAGTGATAAACACTGAACATTTTCCACCCTGAATTCTGCAGTCAGCCACATGAAATTATGTATCTATTAAAGACAGAATGAAAAAAGAGGCCTTTGTTTGGCCAAAAGAACTAACTGTTGCTTTATAAACATTAGCATTCCTTTATTCCTAATAACTGTGTTCTTCCCGTCACTGATGACATGGTTGGTACTACCTGTCCCCTTCTGCATCCTGTCGTTTCGGGGAATTTATCGAGTAAAGAACAGGTTTTAGGAGCTCCTTTACAGGCATTTTCATTTTTTCTTCCTAGAACAAGAAACGGTAAAACCACTGTTAGAAACAAATCACAGTAAAATTTTAGCTCACCCGGTTTTGACCACGGGCAATCTGTACTGTCACCCTCACTAGGCATGAGAAGGTTGAGCAAACACAAGAAGACAAAATGTGAAGTGTCTTACTGTTGCAGATTAGCAGGACAAGGGCCCGAAATCTCTACTCAACGATGGAGGATTTGACTAAGGATGTCTAACGGACAGTGGGTGCTGAATCCTATTTTTCGCATGGTGACAGGCAGAATAACGGCCCCCTCCCCAGGGTGTCCATGATGTAACCAGGAGCCTATGAATATGTTATGTTGTATGGCAAAAGGAAGTAAAGGTTGCAGATGACATTGAGATTTCTAATGGGCTGACCTGAAAATAAAGAGATTATCCTGGACAAACTGGATGGGCCCCATGTCATCAAAGAGTCCTTCAATGTGGAAAAGGGAGGCAGACTAGTGTCCGAGAGATATAGAAGGAGAAAGACATGACCGGCCATTGCTGGCTTTGAAGATGAAGAACAACTGCAAGCCAGCAAATGTGGGCAGACTCCAGAAGCTGGGGCCTCCAGAGGGAATACGGCACTAAGGACACTCTGATTGTATAGCCCAGTGAGACCACTGTAGACTTCTGATCTCAGAACAGTGAAGATAATAAATTTGTGTCATTTTAAAGCTACTACATTTGTGGTAATTTGTTATTGTAGTCAGAGTAGACTTCCTAAGGAAAAAAAAACCAACCAGCTTATATTTCTAACCTAAAAATGCACTCCTAGGACTATATCAGAGTTACCTGAACATTTCTCATGGAATTCAATGTCGTTTCCATTGTACAGGTCATCCTTTATACGTTGATAAAGAAGAGGATTTAAATGAAGAGGGAAGAAGTCTCTGAGAGATGATGTTTTATATGAGTGTCTGTGTCAGGAACACAGAGGTTGGGAAATATTAAGCATCCTGGACTACATGAATTTCTTCACCATCAGCAAAATCACCATGTTTTGGGAAAGACGTGCTCAGCTATGTACACAGCATTATTTGCTTTTACGGAGAAAAATGATGGCTTTTTTTTAAAAGCTAGAAAAATTGTAATTCCCTATTCAAGATTCCTACAAGAGACTGCTACATCTAAAGCTGAGTTTAATTTTATTTAATTTTTAGTTGTGTCCCAGAATAATCATATACCAAGAATAAAATGAGTTATAAGGAATGCAATTTAAAGGTATTCTCTTCGTGGTGCCTGGGTGGCTCAGTCGGTTAAGCATTCAGCTCTTGATTTTTGCTCAGGTCATGGTCTTATAGTTCTGTGAGTTCGAGCCCCAAACTTGGCTCTGTGCTATCAGCTTGGGATTCTGTCTCCCCCTCTCTGCCCCTGTAATGATGTTTACAGGAATCTGTAAACATCATCATAAAGCATTTGTAAGCCTTGATTCCCATGACTTCCCACACACAGGGTCTGGGGACGGCCTGACAGCCCGATTCTGGACTCTGTGCTGTGCAGGCATCAGTTAAGTGAGGCCTGGAGGCTAGAGGAGCAGCCAGAATTGGCTGGACTTCCCGTGGGCACAGGGGAGAGGGCAGAGCACGTGCCCCTTAGAGAACAGCTGTGTTGTACCTTAATGAAAGGTAACTTAATGGACTGGGTTTCACTAGGACTGCCACTTGGTCGGGGTTAAATTAGAGCATCTCTAGCCCTTTGGACACATAAATCTTTTCTCATCTGTAAGCACATATTCTCCGTGTAGCAGATGCTTGGCATTCGTGGATTTCCATCGGCAGCTTTAGGTATTTGTACGTGATGGTGAGAATTTAGGAATGCAACAGCAGTCCCAAGTGCTCGCCGTGGGCCAGGAACCACGTGACATACTTAAAAGGACTCATCCGATGCCTATAACACATGTGGTGTGTTTTAGAGAACAGGAAGTGTGGCACAGAGAGGTCACACTGAAAGTGCCACAGCAGGAATTCCAGCCAAACTGGACCCAGAGTCCGTGCTCTTAACCATGACCCGAGGACCCTGACCTAAGACCGCCCCTCCGTCACTTCTGTTATTATATAACATATGGCTATTGTGTAATAAAAAAACAGTACCACTCTCAGTGGATAATTGTGTGTCAGATCTTCCAAGCACTCACTGATTCTAGTAACAACTCCATACTTGAGACACTCTTTTCATTGTCCGTTTTTGGATGAGGCTCTGAGCCTCAGAGATTCAGGAACATGTTTGCATCACACAGCTAACAAGTGGTGCAGCCAGGTCTCCAAATTTGGGATTGTTGGTCTCCAAAACCGATGCTTTCACCACCGTTTACAACTTTGTCACATCATGGATTAGAAAGCAGCTGTGAGGAGCAATTCCCTCAGCTGAGGAGGGAACTGTCCAGCAGCTGAATGCAGTGTGGCTTTCTTGCTGTTTTATTATTTCTAACCGAGTTTAAAGTTACTCTGAAGAAGGGTGCCTGGGTGGCTCAGTTGGTTAAGCTTCCAACTTTGGCTCAGGTCATGATTTCATAGTTCGTGGGTTCAAACCCCACATCAGGCTCTGTGCTGACAGCTAAGAGCCTGGAGCCTGCTTTGGATTCTGTGTTTCCCTCTTTTCCCTGCTCCTCTCCCACTCACACTCTGTCTCTCTCTTTCTCAAAAATAAATAAACATTAAAAAAAATAAAAATTAAATAACTCTGAAGAAGTGATGGACTTTGAAGAAGAAGATGGCCCTGAAAGGAGTTTTATCAGTGGAGATTTGGGAGAATCAATTGGATATTTCATTTACATGTGAATATACTTTATAAGAAATATTCATGGAGTTGGGATTTTTAAAGGTCTTGGGTTGTATCTTCCTTAAGCTTCAAGGCTCTGTTGGAATAACAACAGGTTCATCTTGCATGACAATTCAATTGTCAGTAGCTACCTAGAAAATGGTGTTGAGAAGGATTCAGAGGTTCAGCTTGCGCTGATCCAGAAAGGCTACTGAGAGCGGTACGTGCTCAGGAAGAAAGAATACACATTTATGGCATATTTGCCAAGTGTAGATTTTACTGTTCACTGTTGGTGATAATTAATAAGTTTGAGCAAAATAGATATTCCATAACATTCACTTAGCAATTTGAAGACTTATTTTTAAGGAAAAAAAAAAACCCTCTCATTATTTACTTTTCCTGATTCTTTTTCTCCAACTTAAAACAGCTGTCCCTTTAAAAATGAATAAATATTCCTTAGTCTTGATGATGCTATGTGGAGACCCATCATAATACCCGGTACCATTTGGAGAAAAATGGAACTTCCAGCCACCACTTTAAGTCTTTCAACAATCTAGCAGCATCCTTTCCTAACTAGAGTAGATAACCACTAAGTCTTAACTACATCAGATACTCAGTAGCCTGTATGTCTGGACCTGAGCTCTTAGTGTGGCTAAGAGAGTGCCTGCTGCGTCTCTTCCTCACATCTTACCTCCACCACACCCCCCACCCCCGCAGGATTCTCTCTCCAGTGTCTGCGCCACAGCACTTGAGAGGGTGCCTGCCTTCAGGATTCCATCCACTTCCATGCAAGCTATGGTGCTTGCTGTCCTCAAAATTCTTTAAACTAGGAATGTGTTCCCAGAAACTGGCTCCTGGATTCTTCCCAGAAGCCTGGAAACCACAATAAAGGCCACAAAAAAACCTTAACAAAACTTCCTTAAGAGAAACTATGTGACTTATATTCTCTTACAACACACAAAAATATACAGTTAGAAATGGATTTCTCTTTAATTAACTGCAACTAATTGGAAAACACATACTTACAACATCTACTGCCCCCACCAAAAATACACACACAGGTCAATTATTTTCAGTCAAAATGGAAATCAAGAGAGAAATGCAATCACTTTCTCGAAATAATACAAGTGAAAATATTACAGTTTAAGGAATATATTTTGCCACAATTAAAAAAAGTTTTAATACACAAAGATTTAAAAATCAAAATGTTGCCTTCAATCAACTCTTGTCACCATTGTTTATTTTCTTGCATGCCTAAAACTTGTATGTATGTATGTATGTATGTATGTATGAAGTAGGCTCCACACCCAACGTGGGGCTTGAACTCTCAATCCTGAGACCAAGAGTTGCACACTCTACCAACTAAACCAGCCAGACATCCCGCTTGTTAATTGCTAACTGCCCTATAGGGCTCAGCCGATTTCAACTTTATCAAAGCCCCTGCCTATAGCACAGACTATGGTTCTGGAAATTACTGCCAGAGGCCAGCCATACTGAAGCACTATTCTAGAAGGCATAAGGACATTAATGCAACCGCAGCATCGGATGAAGTGGCGAATGCTTAAGGCCAACTGAGTCCATGCATTTTAGTAAGCCGCCAGCAGACAGAATTAGCATGTTGTTCCCAGGTTGATCCTGCCGCTTCCTTAAAAAGTCTTGTTGGCAAAAATGTTGACAGTCTCTAAAACTCTTAAGTGATCTCTCTTCGGAGAGACTATCTTTGAAAATATTACTGAAGTGGCTCTTCTTTCTCTTATGTGTAAACCATTCTGAGAGCATAAGGGAGATAAATGACTGTGCTTCCTTGTCCTTTAGTGTAAACCCACCTACTGTCCTCTCGATTTATGTGGTGCAGCACTTGCTACTGAGGCTTTGCAATGGATTTGTTTGGGGACAGCTGTTGTTAACCCAGGTTGACTTGATTTTTCAAGAAGAAAATTGGAAAGAGCCTTACAGATAAAATCCAATGCTCCTTATTGACAGGACAGATTGAAATAGTAATTCAGTAAACACACGCATATTGGTGTCCCATGTATGTGCCTGAGCCCGGGTGCAGCCCAAGGAATGTTTGGTGGAATGTGAACCACTTCCTATTCTTGAAGAGTGCAGACACTAGTTAGTATCGTCTGTCACTCTGTGGTGCCTGTCACTCTGGACTGTTATCTCCAACCATGGTGGCTCCCTTTTGGCATGTGACATCACCTCCGTGCTATGCAGCAAATGAGGCTCAGGGAAGGTCCTTTCGAAGATAGTAATTAGCATATGGTAGACCTTTCAGTTAAGCCTACACAATGGGGTTACTCTTTGTAACGTATCGTTTTTAAAAAATGTTTATTGATGTTTGAGAGAGAGCGAGAAGAGCAGGGGAGTGGCAGAGGGAGAGGTCTCGGCCACAGGATCAGAACCAGCCTCTGCGCTGACAGCAGAGAGCCTGACATGGTGGCTCGAACTCATGAGTCATGACATCGTGACCTGAACCGAAGTCAGAGGCTTAACTGCCTGAGCCACCCAAGTGTCCCTGTAATATATCATTTAATGGGAAAGACCAGGAAAACCAAAATACTATTTATGTATTTATCCAAATATGCATGTGAATATACATACACACACACAAATAAGTGTTCATATGTAGTTGTAAGAAACAATGATGGGTTTAGATCATGCATTTTTTTCTGGGCACTTTAATAAAGTTAAGGAATCTGGCTCCGGGAAATATTGCTAGAAGGCTGGTGCCTTCTTCCCATCAGGTCATTGGCTGCAGAGAACAATCTAGAAGTCAGGAGCTTACCTTGCTGCCACAGCGTAAACTGGCTCCAGTCACCTTTCTCCCTCAGGTTTTCATCTTCAGGCAGGAAGAGGCCTTCAGTTTTGTCCATCACTGCAAGGCCTTCATCGCGGATTAACTTCCAGTTTCTTTCTAAGGACTAGAAGGAAGATTCTGGTGTTACTGGACTGAAAACATCCCTGGGAGTCATTAAAATGACTCTCAGATTTTTGTTTGTTTATTTGGTTAGTAGAGTAATGAAATGTGCGCTCATCTACATTGCTTATTTCAATTTCCTCTGGGATTTGTCAACAGTTTAAAAAAAGCCCTATTATTTTTGAGAACTAAATGCCTTTGTAGCATAATCAAATAATTCCTCAGAGAACAATCCCCTCCAAAAACTAAGGTGGTTTTGTTTTCTGTTTTTTTGTTTTTGAGATCCTAAGTGAACAAGACCATAGCTCTGGTTGATCACATTACTTCAGTACACTACAGTATACTCTGTGTCACACCCCGGCTTCCAAAATGGGATACAAATCACAGAGTTCATATCATCTTTCAACAGAGGTCCTCGTGAAGGCCATTCAACATGGTTAACATTAATTACATTTTAAAGACACTGGAAGGTGTGCATTGGAACTCTTGACGAATTACAAGCTAACACCAAAACAAAGCAAATAAATGCCCTCGTGTTTAGAGTTCAGCCAAACAAAAATATTCCTTTGACATTATTTATGAGGGTTGGTGAGCCCTGATCGGAAAGTGGGCTTCGGACCAGCAGAGCCGTGGAGAGGCCAGCAGACACTGGCTGATCTGCGGAAGGGGCATTCTGGAGCTCTCGCCTCCTGGTAACCCTCACTACCATGCTGTGATACGGAGGAGGGGACAGAGGGCAAAGCAGGCCAGAGGAAGCGTGTGGCAAAGGAAGAGGACCTACCCTCAGGAAGAAAGAACAAAACCTGCTTTCTTACTGTCTGAGGAGACTAATCATACAGGGAAACCAGGATTCTGAGATGATAATAATGCCCAACATTTCTATGTTAAAATGGAGGTGGACAGAGTAGTTGAACATATGGGTACATGGATAGGGAGGAACACAGTACCTGATTTCAACAAAGACTAGGTCTCAAGAGCACAGAACTAGAACTAAGAAGTTACAAACAAAGAGAAAGATTTTGACACACAAAACATGAATACAATCATTCGCGCTCCCCGCAAAGGGGTTAAGATACCTTGTAAAACATGGTTCTCTATCTTTTGAATCAATCAAGTGAAACTGGTTGACTAGCTATTGGAGAGCAAGGCATGAGGTACTGTGTGAACTGTGTTTACCAACCCATGCTTTATGAATTCATGATTCAATGTAGGGAAAAAAAGAGAAGGAGCCAGGAAGACTGCACAGGCGGAGGGCCCCGAGAGACAGGTGCCCTCAGACATTTGTACGAAAACATGGTGTGAACTTCAGCCAAACCCAGGGAACACTTTTTAGATCACGTGACATTAAGATACTCTAGGGCAAGATACAGATTTTAAGATGACTGATTTTCTACTTCTTCTTTTCCCCTTCATTTCTTGGAGTCTACTGGTTTATTACATGTCAGCTTTATTGAGGTATAATTGCCACATAAAATTGTAAGAAATTTAAAAGTGTACCTCATGGTGATTTGATATAAAAATACACTGTGAAACAATTTCCTCTACCTGGTTGATCAACACTTTCATCACCTCACAAATTTATCTTTTATTTTTTAATTTAAAAATTTTTGTTGAGAACATTTAAGTTCTACTCTCTTAACATATTTTAATGATACAATACAGTGTAATCAACCACAGTCACCATGTTCATTAGATCCTCAGACCTTCTTTATCTTATGGATGAAAGCTGATACCCTTTACCAACCTCTCCCTATTTCCTTCACGACCCCCACCCCACCCTAGTCCCTGGCAACCACTTTTCTACTCTCCATCTCTAGGAGTTTGACTTTTTTTTTTTTAAAATTTAGATCCCACATGTAAGTGATACCATACATTATTTGTCTTTCTGTGTCTGGCTCATCTCACTTAGCAGAATGCCCTCAAGGTCCATTTATGTTGGTGCAAATGGCAGGATTTCCTTCCTTCTTATGCTGAATAATATTCCAGTGTGCATATGTACATGGGTATTTATGTGTACATATATCATGTCTTCTTTATCCATCCATCCATTGATGGACATTTTGGTTGTTTCTCTGTCTTGATTATCGTGGATAATGGTGCAATGAACGTGAGAATGCAAATATCTCTTCAATATCTCATTTTCACTGTCCTTGGATATATACCCAGAAGTGGGATTGCTGGGTCGTATGGTGGCTCTATTTTAAATTTTTTGAGGAACCTCCATATTGTTTTCCACAGCGGCTGCACCAACTTACTGACTCGACACTGCTATTTGTGTGAGACCTACCTACTGATTTGTGTGAAAACCACAGCCGTTGCCACCATCACACTGATCCATGCTGGTGCTGTTCATCAAAAATTTCAATACTACTTCATCCCAAGTACGTGAATCGTAAATAGCAAGTCAAAGTCAGAATTCCAATAAAAAGATACTCAAGAGTCCTCATTTTGGCATGATGGTTTTTTCAAGATTATGGAAAAGAAAATATATTTACATCTTCTCAAATGGACCTAAATTCCCAACACTTCTTATGGCTACTGGAATTTGTTCAAGTTGATGGAGAAGTCTGTTAGACTCTTGCTAAACTAGCAGGCAGATGAGTGGAGAATGACCTTTCTAACACATGGAATCACTTTTCAAATGAGGTTACTGGAGCCTAATACAACAGGCTCTGCCCTGCTTCCCTCCTGGTATGTTAGAAATTTCTTTCATTTCTTCTGAAAGCTGATGTTAGGGGCATCTTTGCAAAGAGCTAATCTTTAGTTACTAAAACAGGGCACTGAAGCCCTAAGGAAAATGTTAAAGGGAATGCATCACTACACACAATTATTTATTTTTATACTAAATAAGATTTTTCAAATTTTACTTACGATCAGGCTGCCTTTTACTGAAGCGATGAGTGTACTTGGTTTTGTTGTTTTTTTTCAACTTTGGAAAGACATGACATGGTCTCTTTTAAAGGTTTCAGGGAAGATTCAGGGACGGGACATGGGAATTTTCTTTTTAAGCATAAACCAAGTAACCACATTGTACAAAATGCACATGATTATAGGGGACTAAACACCAAACGTAATTACATAGTGTATGTGTGTGTATGTGTGTGTGTGTGTGTGTGTGTGTGTGTGTGTGTGTATGATAGAGAGGAGAGAGAGAGAGAGAGAGAGAACAGATATCCTACTTACACTTTTTCCCCTGGATATACTACCATCCCTCACAGCTCTGAGTGTCGTATGGATATTATTTGTGTCGACATCTGCTTCCTGCATTTTCTGGTTCCCCTGAGCTGCAGGATGCCTTCTGTTTGTTTTGGTCTTTATCTTTTCTCATGTTGAGGGCAGACCCTTGGCTGGAAGTCCTGCAGACACTGAGATGATGACTGGGAATTGTGGAAGGGGAAGGCCTAGGGTTGATGGGCCTCACCATTGGGTATTTGGGTGCCTCTTCAAGCCACTTTTGTTCACTGAGCATCTGAAATGTAGGTAGAGAGAGGCCTGTTCTGAGGCCATGCAATTGCTGCAGTAGGCAACTGAAGGAACCTTCGATTCCTTCTCTTTGGAAGCCCCTCTGCAATCACTTTGGTTACAGCTTTCTTGGAATGGCCAAGTCAGATACTTCTGTCTTACATTTTCAAAAGACAAACAAAAAAACCCTGCTGCCACCGTTCACGTTACACCATGATCACAACGCAGTGGGTAGAATAGCCTAGATAAGGCATGAGCGGCGGACTCTGCCTTAGAGAGAGTAGCCCGGGGTGGAGGGCATCTCTCTGAGTGCTGAGCTGAAGTTAGGAAATCCCAGCCAATGCCATAGTGAGTATAATGCTCTCACAGCAAACTCTCTTTGCAATAATTTTAATAAAATCTCTGGGGAAATTAGCAGCATTTACAAAAGCAATCTCTTGCTGGAACTAATGCATTTTAATAAGATTTCCTATTTTTCAAGTTTGAACATAAAGATAAAAGAAAGTATCTGACATTTTTTATTGAACATTTATTTCTGAATGAGAAAAGCAAAGGCTATCTATTCACAGCACGCTGTAGCAAGGGAGGCAGCCACCATCGCTTGCTTCGGCAGAGGAGTGGGAAAGCTTAAAGGTAAAAAATAGGAAAGGCTTCAGGGGTACCTGTGTGGAGGCTGTTGGAAGGCATCTAGAAGTGGGCATCCTATGTGATTGGTTAGGAGGGCGTATCTGGTTTTCTTGAGTTGGTCCTAAGCTGGAGGCAGGGACAAACATTAAGGCAGCTGTCAGTTATTAATCAAGTCCTGGCCATTTGGGGCCAGTTGCTACAGAAATTATTCTTTAAGTTCCTGGACTGTCACTAGAGATTGTTATCTGGCTAATCTGGCTTCCTGCAAGTGTGCTTTACAGCAGGCCGGCTTCCTGGGTTATTTAGTACAGAAAAGGGGGCGGTTTCCTCGGCAGTTTGCTGCAGTCTGTGGGGCAAGGTTCTAGTTTTATCTGTGGTCTGGATACCATCCATTTGTGCATTCAGTCTCTCATTACGCTTACTGAAGAAAAAGGCCAAGATGAGCCACCTAGCACGGGGCAAGAGAGGGGTCTTGGAGAATTGGATTTTGCTCTTTCTAGAAAGTGGCAGAGAAAGGGTGTCCACCACTTGGATAAAGGAGAAAAGACAGTCCGAGTTACCAGGGGAAACATTCAGCCTCAGGGCGTCAGGGAGCAAATGAGATGCATATTCCTCATACCCTAGGCCAGACTGGCAGGCACTGGGCCAACATTCTTAGAGGAAGTTAAAAGGGGACGCAGGTACGATCTCCCTTCCCTGCTCCGTCTACAGGGAACAGTGCGCCGAGCTATGTCCCAGACAAGCAAACCCCCCCAAGTCCCTAATATCAAGGGACTAAGAGGGTGACGGGAAAATATCCAGAGGCTGAGATTCTGATGGGGAGGCTTTCTGTGCACATACACGATAAATCACTTGATAAACTAGATTATCTGTAATACATATGTGCATAAGAATATGTAAGACATTGACCTGTGT